CCGCCGCCGGATTTCGCAGCGCGAGCCGTATCGCAGACCTTGAGTTGGCAGCCTGAGCCGTATCGCCGACATTGAGTTGGCAGCCTAAACCGTATCGCAGACATTGAGTTGGCAGCCCGAGCCGTATCGCCGACATTGAGTTGGCAGCCCGAGCCGTATCGCCGACATTGAGTTGTGGAATTTATTCTGCAAGTCACTCTCACGTCACAGATTTGTGAGTGTGGTGATGATTCAGAATTTTTCAGATAAACTGAAGGATTAAATGTCCCTTTATGGTTTACAAACAGAATCATAGGAGATATGTTTAGCGGTAAATAGCCAAATATGATGGCATTTTAAATGGTGTGGCCAAATCATTCAAGCTAATTGCCAATGTCAGTAGTAACTGTTCAGCTTTGCCAGTTGTAATTAATGTTTGGGTGTGGGAGACTGACTCTGCCTTTTGTTTCTGTAGCTACTGGGACATGGCATACGATGGTGACTTGATGGACAACAGAGTTGGCCTGAATTTGCTATACGCCCAGGTAAGAGATTTCATTGATTAGGTAAACCAGACGCTGCTGTTTATTTTCAGCTGTAGCTTTTTCAACAGTGGGCTTAAAATACCTGTTAAACTGAATTTCCCCTTGAGACATGGGATCAAACAGAAAACCCCAGTTAGATGCGATCTGATCTAACATCTGTTGTGTTTTTCTTAAGCTCACAGAGAGCCAGCTTCACATCAAGAAAACTAAACTGAGCAGTGTTTTGTTCCTGGGCTGTGAAATGCTTTTATCCTTCCCCTGGCTCCTGTAATTATCTGATAACATTGTCAGCTTGCTTTGACTTTGTAGCACCTTGAATGTTGTACCTCTTTGTGTTCCTCTCATTCCATTATAGTGGATTCTGTTCACTTTAACACCTGTGATCTGTTAAATTAAGCCTTTTTGGGGCAGCTAGTTTGATCAAAATGTAGAACTACTGAGTGTTGTCTCTGTAGCAGAAAGGAAATCAAAGAAACAAGTAGCTTTCCCATGTATGTGCAGTTATGCATGTTTTTGTGTACGTATTTGCTGACCCGCACTGTTTACATGAAAGGCTTAGGGTGTGATTTCTCCCAAAAGTACCAAAGGAAAACACAAAAACCTCCTTTGCTGTGTTCATCTGTGCAGAGAGATAAATTTCATTTCTTGTTTTTGCTTCATCAGACAGTGTCTGACATTGACCGAGGCTGGATACTCGTCAGCAAAGACCAGCACAGGCAGCTCAAATCCTTGCAGGAGAAAGGCTCCAAGAAAGAGGCAAGCAAGGGCATCTCTTCTGGATTATTAAGTCTCTGTGGTAGCTGATACTTAAATGTCTTTGTCCAAAGATAAATCTATAGACCTTGTGCACTCTGCTATGCAATTAGCCTAGAATTTCTCATATGAATTTTTAGTAATATAAATCCAGTAGAGAATTGAAACTTACTTTCTCCAGGAAACAGATTTTTTTTTTTTTTTTTTTTTTTTTTAATTGTTAAACATATAAAACTGATGTTTTTGGTTTGCCAGTTCATCCATCTAGGTCAGACACTCAAATATTATGGCTATATAAAGTTTGACCCGTGTATTACCGACTTCCCTGAGAAGGGCTGCCAAGTTATCGTCAGTGCCGGCAACAGTGAACTCAACTTCCATGTCAAGCTGCCCAATGAGCAGATGAAGGAGGGAAGCTTCAAGGTCACACGCATGAGGTGTTGGCGAGTCACATCTTCGGTAAGTGGAATCGTGTGTAAGCTTATGTGAATTCACCGTCAAGCATGCCAGGAAGTCTGAAGTAATGAAATCCCTTCATATTTTTCAGGGCTCATGAGTTAGCAGAGTAGAGATGCAGCAGCTTTGGCTAGAGTCCCTCTCAAACCAACAAGGGTTCCTGTTGGTTTGAGAGGGACTCCTGTTTACAAACCCCATCTCACCACTGCACCAGAAACCTTTCAGTCTTGCCAAGCAAGAGCTTTTGCTTCTGCTGCTCACTGAAAGTGCTGACCCCCACACTATCTATCTTCATCAGTCTGAACACAAAGCCCACACAAGGATAGGGTTTTATTGATCCAAGCAGCCTCACATGTAGAGTGGGGTCCTTTATTTCAACTGATAATTGTCCTTTGGTGAGGAGGGATTCTGAAATTTTCCAGAATTTTTAAGCCGTTTAAAGGCACAGTCAGCTGAGTGTATGCGAACTTCTGACCAACTGGAATTGTGATACAGTGAATTATAAATAATAATAAATAATCTATCTGTAAACAACTGTTTGAAAAATTACTTGCTGTGCATAAAGTACGTCCTAACCAACTTGCTAAAAGGAGTTTAATATGACATCTGTGGAGTGGTTAAAAAAATCAGTTTGACTTCAGCCTAAGTGTATGTAAACTTCTGACTTCAGCTGTAGATAGCTTTTTAAAAATGTCTCCAGCTCTGTGGAATTCTAAACCAAGCTGTAGGAAATCCAGAACAAATTCCTTGTCGAAAGAATAAATACATCTTCATAACTGTCCCCGAGAATTGCCACAGAAAAATTAGCATAATTTAAAACCATCATGAACCACACATACAGTATGATCTGCTTTAAATATGCAGAATAGTTAATACTGCTTCCACCCCATCATTCATCTTGTAAAGGCAAAGCTCCACTGAAAGCTGTCTCTGAATAGCTGAGTAAAGCGTTGTGTACAGCTCTACCCACATCATTTCAGCTGCCATTTCAAAAGATGAACATTTCCAGACACAAGACCTCATTTAAATAGAGATGGGGTGGGGGGGACAGTTCCTTTTTGTATTGCATTAGTGCTTGAAAGCACAGTTACTGTGTGTATCACAGAAGCTGCTGCAATTCTGCAAAAGTTAAAATTTGCACAGAGCTCTGGACACATGGGAACACCTGTGAAATTAAAATGCATCTTGGCTTGTCTGATTAGACTGAGCCCCCGCGCCGTCCAGCAGGGTGATTAACTCCTCAGCTCATTTTCAGAGGTCAGTCATTTTAATGAGCCCGTTCCTTTCCAGCAAACTATTCAAAACATGGCAGCACTGTAACCCCACCCACCCATCGCATGCCTAATTTCAAATTGTACCCAGAAGAACATGTGTGTGAGTGAGCCTCAGACCTGTTATCTCTTCCTTATTATTTCTTTATGCTATCTCTGTGTGTGTTTAACATGGGAGATGGAGCTAGTTTCTGGCCCAGAGGAAATGGTCTCACCAAAGAGCACAGGCTTCATGAATGAGGAATGAGGGCTCGTCTCTGGGGAGCTATATGGGTACATCTCATGTCTCTTAAAAGGCCTGGTGTTTCAACCACTTGCATCTTTTCCTTGTGTCTTAGTCCCGCCCATGTAAGATGCAAGGAAAACATATGGGGAGAAAGGACTTGAGTTATTAACGACATAAGACATCCTTTCCTCAGATCCAGTCACAAACTGATTTCTCATAAAGGGATGTGTCAGTTCTCAAAAAACATCATGCACTTAAATCATAAGAAGCCAATTTTAACTTGAAGGTGAGAAGAAAATCATCACAGTGTGAATTGTAACATAGCCCTCCACCTGTTCTGTCTCACACTGCAGCAAGTGCCAATGGCAAACGGCACAACCAATTCCTGCAGCTCAGTCAAGTGCGAGGTCAAGCTGGAGCTAGCCTTTGAGTACCTGATGAGCAAGGACCGCCTCCAGTGGGTCACCATCACCAGTCAACAGGTCAGGGTCAACAAAGAGAAAATGAATGATGTGGAGTAAAAATTGTTTCAACATATGCACACTGTGATCAGAACTGACTGACTTTCAGTCTGTGATTTCAGGCTATCATGATGAGTATCTGCCTTCAGTCTATGGTGGATGAATTAATGGTGAAGAAGTCGGGTGGCAGCATAAAAAAGGTTTGTGTTAGGAATTCTTAAATACTACAGGACGGCAATGGCAGCCTTCATTACATTTACTGAGCCACTTATTTTCTGACATTGTAATAAAATGGAGTTTACAAGGGGTCATGCTAAAGTCTCCATGATGTTCAATATTTCACTTTTATTTTGCTGATCGATGGGATAATAAATCATTGTATATCTGTGTTGAAATCAACACAAATGTAAATGTAATGCAAGCCGTACAGTTAATTGCGTTCTTGACTTTTCAGATGCTGAGGAAACGACACAATGGCTCCATCCACCGGTCTGACAGTCAGCAAGCTGTGAAATCGCCCCCTCTACTGGTAGGAAATGGGATAGCTTGTCAGTTTTTATTGATCTCAGGCGCAGGATACTTTAACTCCCTGTGTCCATTTGGTTGCAGGATTCCCCCGACCCGAACCGTGAACAGACTGTCAAACTCTCAGTGAGTATATTGTAGACTATTTGGATTTCATTTTGTTGTGAATGTATTGGGCTCCTAAAAAAGAAAATTTATTCCCAAAACTTAAACCATATTGACATAAATCTGTCATGTTTTAATTGTACTGCTGATTATTCTGTGTAGACCAAGCTGAGCTCCATGTCCCTCCGAGGCATCTCTGCTTCCAACTCAGCAAATGACATCAGTGGCAATGATTTCCATGGCAACTATGCTTTCGAGGGAATCGGTGATGATGACCTGTAACCCCCTGATTCAACCTGCTCCCCTCTTCATTCCGCTGTCGAGAACTGGGACGACAAAGATTGCGAGCTGAGCTGAGCGGACCCCACACACACACACGTCTCTGATTCTGCAAGATTGTAGCTTCTTCCTGGAGAAATCGCTGCCTTAAGGTTTTTTTTTTAAATCTCTGACAGTATCCTTCCTGTTGGATTCTAAAAGCTTATCTTGATTTGTATCTTAGTTACAATCATCATATTCACTTGAATGGTGGTTCTTATGTTATTAGCTTGTGACAACATACAGTAAATAGCATGTAAAGCTACAGGTACTCAAATAGGTTCTGTATGTGACTGACAAATTCAGATTTATTCACAAGGTTTGAGCAACAGTATGTGTGAAGTTCTATAATGCAGTTAAAATTCTGAGTACAGTATAAATTAATATATTGTGAACTCCATGAAGAAAATCTACTAGGTCCTGGATTCTCCCCCCAGTGGCTGCATGTTGCTTTCACATGATTGGATCTGGCTCCTGTGATAATACAGCAGAGCTGGACATGGCTAGTTCTCAAAATGACTCAGTGAACATGTTGTAATTGATCTCAGAACTATAGACTATTCAGTGCACCTGCTTACTTACATTGATGATCAGTATTTGGCTTGGCTATACACCAAATTGTCATGTTTGTATACTTTTAGTGATCCTCTGTGTATCGTGATATTCATGTGCCAAGTCAGTCAGCATCTTAGCGAAGATGCATGTGGTGTTTTCAGCTTAAGTTTGAAGCACATTTGCTCATACTGCCTTCACAAATAGCCTTGACTTTTTTTTTTTTTTTTTGGCCTCGTGTGGTACTTTGTCATTCAGTTCAACATCGGATGAAACTTGGCGTCAGCTGATGTTACCTAGAATCTTGCAGAACTTGATAGATGGTTGATTTGGCTGAGCTGCTTGCACTTGCTAAACCCATCATTTTGCACAGTATTACATGTGGAGATGAATGTGGAAGCTTTTTCCAAGGGGATTTGTAAACCCATCTTTTTTTTTTTTTTTTTTTTTTTTTTTTTTTTTGTTAAACCAGTTTTTAAGGTTTGTCATAAAAGCCAAATGATAGTTTACTAAAGCATTTTGCACAAAATAAACAAAATTATGACAGTGTCACTTTGTATTTTATGTACATGCAATTAAGTTTTCTGAACATTTACCAATATCTATCATCATAGCTTATTCTAATCAAATAGATCAAATGTAATCTAAATGGACTAACATCATGTTTACATCATGTTTAGGGGACTTTTTAGTTGAAGTGTTTACAAAGTTTGCATCAGATTTTCTTGGTCTTATATTTTT